CACACACACACNACACACGCATAAAAGCGCGAGAGGAAACGGCAGCGTCGCAACAATATAGGAGGTGGTCAAGGACGGACAGTGGTGGTGAGAGAAGTGGGGTTGAGTCAAGTATCGGAGCAACGAGGCGCTTGAGCTTGTCCTTGGTGCTGTGTTAGTGTTGGTACGCGGTTGCTGAGATCCGCGGCAGAGTAGCTCCGACGCACGCCAATAAGGCTGGTTTGAACTCGGGTGAGAGATCTGACCGGACGTCATGGCGAGCGGTCGGCGCTGGGCGCTGCCGGCACTTCTTCTTCTGCTGGTGTCTTTGAAAGCCATCGCTGGCACATCGGTACAAACCTGTGCCGACGGCGTCAGTCAATGCCCAGCTGGAGGAAGCTGCTGTGCGCTGGCCGATGGTCATTATGGCTGCTGCGCGACATCTTCAGGAGGTTTGTTGAGCCGCAAATCCTTGTTGCGCCTTGCGCTTGATCCCTTTGGTGCCATTGCCACTGATGTAGTGCATGTCCTTGACCCACCGGGACGTATCTCGCCGCCACAGTATGCTGCGCGGGCAGTGCGACCTGCTGTCCCTCAGGCTACACTTGCCACGCCACGGATGGATCATGCTTGGCTAACAACGTGACGGCTCACCCATATCAGCCATGGACCCCCCAGTGGAACCTGTGTGAGGGACCTTTGCCTGTTTATCGCCTGCCCAAGGTGGTAGATGACCTCAACTTTCTTTACTACAGTTCCCGAGGCCACATTGAGACCCCACAAACTGAGACTGACCCCGAGATGGCCGTGATCGTCGTCCACGGAGCTTCCCGCAATGCCGACGAGTACTTTTGCACCATGCTCAAGGCAGCGCAACTGCAGACATCCATTGACCCCCATCGGGTTCACGTCATTGCTCCCTGGTTCACAGAGCCGCAAGATGGCGTGGCCAGTGGTACGACCGCTGAGAGCAGGCCCGAACCTCCCCACTTGCTTTTTTGCATCGCCTTGGCTCTGACCAAGCCGCTTGGCTCTGTGTCTCATCTCTACACCGCCTGTCTCCTGATGTCGGGGTTGTATGGTCAAAACGAATAGATGTTGTTGTTTGGAATGGCAGCGACCCGAATGGTCCCTGGCGCGCCGGCCTGCAAAGCCTGCCCTCGCCGCAAAACCACACCATCAGCTCCTATGCCATTCTGGATCGACTCGTGGATACCTTTGCCAACCGTACTGTATGTTTTCTCCACCATTATACTGTGCACCCAGTCGCAATTTCGGGCTGCGGTGAGGCGTGTCTGATTTTATTGCCCTGGCGCTATGTTTACCTTCGCCTTTTGTAGCTGTTTCCAAGCCTCCGGCAGATTGCTATCCTGGGTCACTCAAGCGGCGGCCAAACGGTGCAACGTTACGCATTTTCGCACGCATTTGCCCAAAGCACCGTGCCCGTCCGATTTGTTGTGGCCAACCCGTCCTCCTACGTCTACCTGGATGGTCGGCGCTGGAACGCAAACGGCACCAAGCTAGCGGTACGGCTTCCATTTGTGATTGGTGCTGCACTTGGGCTGACTTAACTCCATACGCATCGTCCTTGCTCTCCTCAACCAGCACCCTCACTTGGTATCAACCCTGGGCTTTTGTTTTTCTCCAGACACCTTCTTCGGATCAGCAGCAAGCCTGCCCAAGTTACAATGCCTGGGAATGGGGCCTGGGTTCGGACTTGCCTCCTTATCTGGAGCGGGCTTCCGGCATTGACTCGCTCATCTCACGTTACCCACAACTGGACGTGGCCTATCTGGCCGGGCAAAATGACACGTGCAACGAGGACCGCGAGCCGGGCTGCACGTCCCACGGCCTAGAGAAGACATGCGCTGATATGTTTGAGGGTTGGATGCGCCTGAACCGCGCTCAGCAGTACTTTGCCTACCTGCGCGCCTACTTTGGCAAGGAGGTGCACAGCTTTCATGCCATTCCCAATGCCGCTCACGACCACACCCTCATCTTCGAGAGCCCGATCGCATTGTCTTTGGTCTTTGCCCTGCCTGATGTACCAAGCACAACTTCCGGCCCATCTGACAAGCATCCTTCAAATAGGAATGGCATGTACATTGGGGTGGGTCTCGTGGGTTTGGTCGCCATCTTTGCAGGTGTGGCCGTGTGGCGCTGGTCCCATTCCCGCCGCCTTGGCAGGCGTGTTTCCATAGATGACGCTCGCGGCCCTTACACGCCTCTGAACGCGCCTCTTAACGAGGATGACGACATGTTTGGGCGTTAAGTAGTGGTTTGAGTAGAGGCCCTGTGCCGTGGTGGCGTCGTGTGTCAAACCCGATTGCATTCAACACGAGGGCACTGATAATTCATCCTTTACATGTCTATTGATTTTACTCACCAATGGGCTCGGGCTGCAACAGCCATCTTACTCGTATAATCATACTCACATGTCAAAAACAAGAACAAAAATATCATAACAAACCAGCAAGTCCTGGCAACTATTGCCATCTCATGGCAGCTCTCGGGGGTCGATTGCTAGGCTTGTTTGAGGTGACCGTGAAGCTCGATCCGGTCATAGGGAGTTGCTGGTTGATATGGGCCATCGTAGTTGCAGAGCTGCAACCACTGCGAGGTGACCTCAAAGCCGTAGGTGCCTTTGAGCTCGGCCACCTCTGGTCGCCCAGAGGGGCCGGCGTCAACCCAGCGCAGCCCTGGGGTTTGAATGGCACGCTGAACGCCGGCACGAAGCACGGCAAACCACAGGAGGCAGCGGGGATCACTGCAGTAGAACCACATGAGACGCAAAGTGTCTCCTTTAACGACAGAGTGGCCCAGAGCGACAGGCCGTTCCTGAAAAGCTGAAAGCCCAGGTGCTGCTGCCACGTCTGCTGCTGTTGCTGCTCCCGTGCTCTCAGGTGCATTGGTCAGGGGTGCTGTTGCGTGGGCAGTGCGATGGTGTAGGCCATTTGGACCCTCGGCAACTACAGAGGTGGTGGGGTCTGGTGAGCGGGCCTCGATCTGGCTACTACAACTTGGCTTGACCGTGGCATAGTAAACATCAACCTGGCCTGGCATGGCGCGACAAATGAGGAAGCGAAAAACGCCGATAAGCAGCGCGATAGGGGTGCTGTAGTGGCGCTGTTGGTGGGCGATCACGATCTGGAGATGTGCCCAGCCAAGGCGATTAGCAGGCAGCGTTTCGACGCGAAGTCCATTTTTGATGAAGCTCTTATCGACTTGCTTCAAGAGTGTGGTGCGGGGCGACCGTGCCAGCGGCCGAGCCCAGGCTGTCCAATCAGCAAAGCCGGTTGTGTCCAAAATCGCGTGCGCTCGCGGCTGGCGTCTTCGGCGCAAGCCTAGTGGGCCTGCGTTGATGCGAGGCTCAAGCCAGGCTCGCGGCAGACAAGGAGCCAGGGCCAATAGCAAACCCGCACCGGCAATGGGCAAACAGACCAGCGTCACGGCTGATCCCACCCACCAGGCGACGCACAACACGGACGGTGTCACCGTGTCCGCCATGATCCCGGGTACCGTCGACGCGGAAAAAAAAAAGGGAAGCGGCAGCCAACGTGGTGCAGCCCAGGCTCTTCCTTCTGCAGATCCAAACTAACAGCTCAACTACCAGCTGCTGGCCGATCAGAGAAGTTGAACTGCCAGCGATCGCCAGTAAAAACGCGGCTCCACGTCACATGTGCACGTGTGGTTGAATTGCACAAAAAGTTCAGATGAGAGAGAGAGATGAGAGAGATTTGAGAGATTCGAGAGATTCGAGAGATGAGAGATGAGAGAGATTCGAGAGATGAGGAAAGATGAGAGAGAGATTCGAGAGATTCGAGAGATACGAGAGCTTGAGAGACGCTGTGCGTGAACAAGGGGCATAACCGGATGTGTCGTAACGACGTGCCAACATCGGGTAGAGGGTACGGCAGAGAAGTGGTGCTTGTCGTGATTGTCTGAGGGCACATGGTCTCAGGGATGGTTCTTGCTGGGATTTGGTTGTGGACAGGGAGGATCAGGTCTTTATGTCGGGGGATTGATTCAAATAAGATCGTCGTGGTTGTGGCAACACCACGAAGGGCTCAGCGTGGGTGTCGCTCACACTCTCTTGGCCCGATGTACGGCACGGGAGCAGGGGTCGGTCAGTTATGATCCGTGGAAACACAAAACTCGGCGCTGAAAAGCTGCGCTACTCGGCAAACATGCAGGTTTCAGCGCCGTTCACAAAAAAAAGAAACGTGGCGGTAAAACAGTCAGGTCGGTCAAGAGGAAGCGGCGAGGACGAGGGGCCGATTCACTCTTGGTCAGGGTGTGTGGTCTAGGCTAAGCAGGGCAATTGTTGCGGCAGGGTGTGTTTAGGGTTGATAGCGGCTATACCCCCACAGGTCTTCGAGGCCAGAGCGGTCCTCGTTGAGGGCGGCAAGCGCATACTGCAATCCAGGGGCGCCATTGCACTTGGCATGGGTGAGGTGTATCGCGGCATCACGCATGCGGAGGCGCTGCTGGTGCAGCTCATCCTCGGTCTTTTGGGCCAAGTCGCGGAGCAAGCGCTTGAAGCCGGCAACTTTTGTATTACGCATGTAGGTTTCCGACCAATTCCAGTACTCGACGTGGCGGACGTACGGGGTCGGCCGCATACGATTGGTGACGATGGGGATACAGCCGGCGCGCATGGCGTCAAAGAAGCGCGTGTCACAGTTGGTGTCGCCGCGCGGGGTCGGGCAGTACTCGCACTGGGAGTAGACCACGGCCGATTCGCTAGACCGAAAGTGGCCGTTGGTGAGCTCGCTACGAGAGGAGCGGCAGTTGGCCAGGACAAAACTGTCATCTCGCCCACTGAGCGCCTCAGCCACCATGCTACGTTCGTCATTCAACAGGGTGCCCTGAAAGCAGAAGCGAAAAGGGCGCTTCCAATTTCGGTCAAAGGGGGCATCGAAGACGGCAAAGTCCAACGGGAACTGAGGCAGCACGATGTGGTTTTGAAATTCAAGGCGCGTCTTCAGTGCCTTGAGTTCGCTCTGTTGCATGTTCTTAATGTCGGGCGAGAGAAATTTGACATCGGGGTGGTCGTGCAAAAGTTGGCGCATGGGCTTTCGGAAATTAGTGCGCGCCGGGAAAGGCCGGCGGCTGACGGTGAAGAGCTTGGCGCGCGGGTTGCGGGCCTGAAGCGGCTTCATGGCACGCACGGCACGGCTAAAGTCGGCACGAGAGTTGTGCTCGCACTCGTCGTGGCACTCGGCTGGAAAGGGGATGAGAATGTAATCGGCTTGTTCAACGTCGGTGACAAGGGTCCCGGTCATGTTGTTGCGGACCTGGCTGTAAACGATGAATTCTTCACAGTCTCCGCACCTGATACCCAGGGCGTCGTCCATTTCTTGGTCCGCCACGTAGATGCGCGGAACGAGAACGCGGGGGTGGATGCGGGTGCAGTTTTGTGGGCCCAAATCAATGTCATCAACGTCCAGTTCGTCGAGCTCATGTATCGCGGGTGTGCAAACCAACCGGTCCACCTGTAGTCGCATCCATTCAATCAGGGGCAAGAACTTAATGTTGCCGCGCAAGCCCATGGTGACCACGATCATGCTCAGCGTGAAGGCGACAAAGTATAGCACAAGATGCCGAGGCTTGGTCTTGGCCAGGTGCTTGAGCACCCAGCTCCTATCAACAGGCGTCAGAGGCAACACCGCACCGTTGGCCCAAAACCAGGTGAGACAGGAAGACGTGTCCGAGCAAGAAGGTCAAGCAAGGCCCGGGGCAACAACTAGTACAGGAGTGAGCTGTTGGACAAGAAGTCTTACCTTGCCCGAGCATACATGGCGCCGAGGCAGCCGATGCTCTGTTTGACAAACCGCTTCCCCAGGATATTTATTGTGCAAACACCTATCCAGCCTTATCTAAGGCCCAGCGTCGGCCACCAGCAACCACCAGCCAGCGTCCCCACCAAGCCTGCCTCAAGGCCTCCGCCGCTCACCGCTCGTCGCGCTCATCAACATCCAACATCAGCAGACAGAGACGTGGAGGAGAAGTTTGAAAAATTCAAACCTCACTGTCTTCGCCAGCCAGCTCGCCAGGTTTATAATGTCATCCTTTATTTTTAGCTGACATTCACACATTTTTATGATCTGACATTTTTCAAAGGGCTGTTTTGCTTGCATAGACTCCCGCACACACGCAGACACACACAGACACACAGACAGACAGACAGACAGACAGACAGACACACACACACACACACAGACACACAGACACACATACACAGACACACATACAGCCAGACAGGCACACGAGGAAAAAAAAGCATCACTCCCGCGTCGCTCCATTGCACTTTGAATTCTCTCACTTGACTCAACTGTTTGGCGCAAATGATCAATCATCTGAAAGTAGCGCTAATCAAAACGTGGGATTGGGAAACTAAACGTGGGATTCAAGTTTTATACCGAACAATTCGTCCATTTCATCCCTACTAACCTGAGATGGCGCCCCATACAGTTTGATGCAGATGGCTGGTGTTCGGGTTGAGATGAAAAAGCAGCCTGGGTACACTTGGCGTTTGGCACACCATCGACCCCGGCTGGGCATGCACCATTTGCTATAACAGAAAGAAAAAAAAAAGGCAGGCAGGCATGAACGTCAACCCAGAGCACCACACGCACAGCCTGATTGAAGGGTGGGGCAGCGGTAGTACGAACCGGGGCGTTTCCCGATAATATGTCCTAAATGTAAAACATGGTGACAGCATCATCCCATCTGTTATACTCTCACTTAACCCTGCGTTCGTTGCTCATTTCAATTTCATCGATACCCTGAATGCGCGAGGTTGATATACGAAATGCGCTAGGTTCAATTTCATCGATACCCTAAATGCGCTCCCGATGGGCACACCATCTTCATGCGTGTGGTCAAACAATGGTGGTGCTTTCCAAGTTGGCGTCTGACCCTTCACGTGGCTAGGCCGTCAAAATGCGAGATGCGGCGGTTGTACACAAGGCAGCGCATTACCTTTCTGCGTCTCTGCGCTGTGCCTTCCCCACCACCAACGAAGCTCCCCATCAGAACAATGGCCCATAGTGGGCGGAGCCATCGCCTCACGCACCCCACCTAAATGCCCGCGTGGTCGAATGAATTACGGGCGAGGCAGCCACGGCAAGTTGCATTTTCCCCCCACGCCCTGTTCACTGAAGTTGGACTACTCGCCGCCACCGAAATCATGTCCAAGGATAGCTTTGCCAGCACAATGAACAACCTCCAACAGAGCATTGTCTCATACGCTGCCGAGCGCGGTGTGGCCATCGTGTCGTCCCGCGGCAAAGCCTCCGTGCTTTTGAACAGCGCGAATGCGGTTCCATGGACTCCCAAGTACTCGGTCTTCCTCTTTGTCGTCGAGGGCAGCCAGGCATACATTGCCCTCAACACGGTGGATGATGGCAGCTGCATTGCTTGCCGCTCCAGCGACCACAAGGTCTATACCTTTGACTTTGAGATCAAGGCTGAGTCTGGCTTTTCCACTGTCATCGGTGGTAGCAAGTGCAGCGGCGCCACCGTGGCTGACATGATGGACCAGGTTAGCAATAGTAATAAAAATCCTTGCGTCCATCAGATACATCCTCGAGCGCTCACTCACCCAGTTTGGTTTGTGCTTTGTCGTTCTCACGTGTTAGCTGGAGGCTGCCGATTTGAACATGACCTCTCCTCAAGGCTACGAGTTCAACACCCGCGTGTGCTTCGGCCTTAAGGGGGCTACCGGTATCGATTACTCTCTCGTCAACTTCAACGATTCGGCTGGTGGTCTTGGCCTCGAGCCTCGCACCCTCTCCTCTGAACTGAACTCCACTGCCATCAATGACCACATGCGTCGCGACTATCTTCACATGATCAGCAAGCCTCGCAGCCTCTGTCAATCTTCTAAGATTGTGAACCTCGATGATGCTCTCGTCGACACTATCAACACGTCGGCAGCCGATGCGCAAGGCGTTGTTCGCTCAGAATTTGAAGAGATGGGCGGCCAGACCAACACGGAGCACGTGCTGAAGCTGCTGAACGTTGACCCCAAGGACGCCGTGGTGGTCAAGGAAATGACCTTTTACGACGGATCTGGTGTCCGCGTGCAAATGCGCAATGTTTTTGTCGGCATTGCCAACGGGAACTTGGTGTTTGCCTCCAAGATGGAGGAGCTTGAAATGAACGTCGATCACTTTGGTGCGCTTGATGTGAGCTTTGAGACAGACATGGCCGCTCGCAACACCAGCTGCATTAGCTCAGCCCGGGCGTGCTGCATCAAGTACAACCCCATCTCCCTGATTGCCGGTGCCATCGGTTCCTGCTTCAGCTTCTGCACCCGAAATGTTTGCGTTTGCTGCAAGCCCAGCCTGCCTATGTACACGCAAATCAAGGACCTCGACCAGCTCGGTGCCACTCGCATTAGCACCAAGTCGATTGTCTCCACCCGTTACATGAGCACCAAGACGGTCGTTGCCACGTCCAAGGCTGAACAGTTTGGTCCTTGCTATGGTGTGCTCAAGTGCTGCAACCCTTGCTGCTGCTGCTGCAGCAAGAGCGAGTATCAGGTCACCTCTCGCTCCGTGGACAGTGCCACTGAGCGTGTGGCCCATATTGGTGTCTATAACGATGTCGTGCCCGGCTCCTATGAGGAGATGTCCGGTACTCTCCAGCTCATTTTTGCTCGTGGTGAGCGCGAGGATAAGGCTCTCGCTCTCATCCAGCGCCTCATGGACATGGCTGCCGACAATGCAAGCAATTTGGCTGAGGCCCGTCTCCAGATGCATGCCGCTCATGGTCCTACTCAGCACAAGGGATGGTTCTCCAGCATCAGCGCCTAATTTTAATGTCAAACATCATCAGCTTGAGGCTGAGTCTTGCGTGTCGAGACCTTAGTTCCGAACGTCTTTGGTAGTGTTCACGGGTCGTGGCCCGTTTCATTCTTACTCCGTGATGCATGGAGACCAGCAGCATTATGTGCTTGAGTTTTGTCAACGGCATTAACAACCACACCACCAATAAAACCTTGTTCTCTGACACACGCTCTTGTCTGGTTGTTACAAGCCAAATTGAAGCATGCTACCCAATGCCCTGCTGCTACCTCCCTTCTTGGTCTATCATTCGGGTCAGGCGCACGCTCCCATGACACTTGCCTGTCTTGATCCGGTACATACGGGTGGTACAAACCCCTCTTTTCTTTAAATAATAAGAAAGAAAGCATTACATGCTGACAATTTGAGTTGCCGCCAAAATTTAAATACGACCAACCATCCAATTTTTATTTTTTCCTCATTTTGAGTTGGCGACAACAGACGGTGACAACAGCAGGTTCGCGCTTAAGGTCAAGCTCCTGGGGGGCGGTTGTTGCTGTTGCGGTGCTTATTTTTTTCTTCTTCAGCCTTGGTCTCATCCGTTGCTTGAGCTTTGGTTAGCTTGTACGCTTGTGGGTTACGATGGCAACTCGTTTGTGCCAGTCTGCTGGTCTCCTCTGACACCTGTGTTCTCTGTCTGACTGCCCTCTGTATTCCGTCCTCACGTTGATGACCATTGTGCCCCTCCCTCCCTTGCAAACACTGCCTCTCTGGAACACTTGCTCGGGTCTTGCGGGCTGCCCAACGCGCATTCGACGCCCAAACACAATGCTCTTTTGACATGTGTCTCGACGATCTAGGCTGCCGCAGGCGAGACGCCTTCAGCATGGCTGTCGAAAGCTTTCGGTAAGATCTCAGTCTCAGCAATTTAGCGGCGCACAGCATCTGGAGTTTAAACAGGAGCTCATGATACAATTGCACGTTTCTACCGCTGTCGCAGTGTGTTCGTGCGGGTGCGTCCTCTCAACGAATCGGAGACGCGAGGCGACACGCGCCATACCGTGGTCCCGCTCGATGAGCAGGTGTTGGTGTTTGACCCCCAATCCGATGAAGACCTCAAGGCCTTTCACCACCACAAGCGGCGTCGCGAAGGCCGCACGCGAGCTCGGTATGACTGATCGCCTTGCCCGTTCTTTCCGCGCACGGTCTGGCGGTGGTCCCCTCCTGTTGTTGGTTGCGCTCGCCACTCGGGCTGGTTTGCTCACAAGTTCATGCCTGACTTGCCCGTCTAATCCAGCAATGCCAAGTTCGCTTTTGATCATGTCTTCCCCGAGCAGTCGTCGCAGTTGCAGGTTTTCCAGAAGACCACCAAGTACGTGCTTACACAAAAGGCATGCTCACAGCAGCAGAAATTACACGTTGATTTGACACGGGCCTTGTTGCATTTGCTACTCCACCAACAGACCCATCTTGCAGGACGTCCTCAGTGGCCATAATGTGAGCGTCTTTGCCTATGGAGCCACAGGGGCAGGCAAAACGCATACCATGTTGGGTCACGGTGGTGAGCCTGGTATCATCGTGTTGACCATGGTCGAGCTCTTTGAGCAGTTGCGTCAGCGCTCCCAAGAATACGAAACAGACCTTTCTGTCTCTTATCTCGAGGTTTATAACGAGACGATCCGTGATCTTTTGAATCCAAGCGTCGGCGTTTTGAACCTTCGCGAATCAGGGGATGGTAAGTTGCCACGGTGCAGAACTTGCCAACACCCAACCTCCGATCCCCAGCTTTCCTCCAGTTCTTTTGGCCCCCACCCGACCGACTTGTTTTCTTTGCTTTCCTTACTACACGTTGACTGGCTTCTCACATACTCATTCCCTCAGGCGTGGTCATAAAAAAACTGAGCTATCACACTCCCAACACCGTCGATGAGGTCATGGCCTTGCTGACCAAGGGCAACCAGAACCGGACACAACACCCCACGGACGCCAACGCAACCTCCTCACGGTCACACGCAGTCTTTCAGCTTCATGTTAAACAGACGCCTCGCAACAGCGGAACCACGTGAGTCACCGACTTGGCTCGGCGTCATTGTCCCTTCCGTTTCTTGCTCTTCCGTTTCCTGCTCATCGACTGGTACAACGTGCGGTATGGTCAGGGCCCATGTGCTGACGGCCAAGATGAGCCTTATTGATCTGGCGGGATCTGAGCGCGCCTCAGCCACCAGCAATCGTGGGGCGCGAATGCGCGAGGGCGCCAACATCAACAAATCCCTTTTGGCGCTGGGAAGCTGCATCAATGCGCTTGCTTGTAGGTCAATGTCTCTTGGAGTCAACTCAGGTTGCGAGCGTTACAATGGCACCCTCACTCACATTGCACGCCTTGGCATTTGCCATCGAATCCTAGCAACGGCGCGCCGTAAACCCCATGTGCCCTACCGCAACAGCAAACTCACCCGCCTCTTAAAAGACAGCCTGGGTGGCAACACACGCACAATCATGCTGGCCAATGTTAGTCCTTCCTATGGCACCTACGATGATACCTTCAACACGCTGCAGTACGCTAAAAGCGCCAAGAATATCAAGGTACAGTCTGCCGGGAGCTTTTTTTCGCACCTTCTATTTGAGCTTTCAATGTCAAGGTAATGCTAGCGATGCATGGTCAAGCAGAATTCACCCATGTGCGCGCATGTGTGTGGCTGAACGCAACAGGTGCAAATCAAGCAAAATGTGGTCAAAATAAATCACCATGTTGCCGAGTACAAGCGAATCGTTGAAAAGTTGCAGCGCGAGATGGCTGAGCTTCAGGCTCGCTTGCAACAGAGTGAAGCACGCGCGCCTGTAGCAGCACTCCCCGCTGCAGACATTCACGTTCGCGATGAGACCCTTCAGATGCAGCGAGCTCACCTAGAGCCGCTTTTCAAAGCTCGCCGTGCGGCCATGATGGCCATCGTGCAAGCCGAGGTGCGGAGCCTATCCTACGTACATCCAGCCAGCAGTAGTTTCATCTTTTGACGCACAGCGCTGCTTGGTTGATTCTCACAACGATCCGACATTGCTACTTTGCTATTTGCAGAGTGAAATTCGTTCCAGCGACGTTGATCTCAAGAACAATCAGCGCGAGCAAGATTTGGCACGCACGCTTCGGTCAGATTTCGTGCGATACACTTTTTCGTTTCTCCATGCGATCCCAACCCGATCGTTCTTTCATGTTTATCTGCGCCTGTGACAGTCCCGTGGCTATGGACGTGCCGGATGCCTCGGTGTTTTCAGAAAAGCGCGAGCGCTTGGAGAAGGACCAGACCGCTTTGAAGGATGCGTTGATGCAGGCACAACATCAGTTGGTCAACAGCAATGAAGCCAGTTCCTCTTGGCAAACTCAAGCTCAAAGTAGCTTTCCTGAGAATGCATGGCAATTGGAAATGCTAAAGCTTGAGTACTCTTGTCGGTCTCTGCAAACAGAGGTATGAATCTTCCCAAGCTGCACGTCTCCGCTCGCGTCTCGGCAGATATGAACAAGAACTGTGTGTGTGTGTGTGTGTGTGTGTGTGTGTGTGTGATATCAAGAACTGGAGACTAAGGAGGGGAGACTTTTGCTCTCAATTTCTTGCCTGACAACCCGGTGTTTGGTATAGAACGATGCCATGCAGCAGCGCATTAGCAATCTCCATCGCGAGCTGGCCTTTGCAAGCCGTACTCAGAAGCAGCAAGGCCGCACGACCAACAAGCTTGTCCAATTGCTCGTGCAGTGCCGCGAGCGTCTGGGGTCCGATGATGAAGAATTGCGCGACCAAGTGGACAAGGCCTTGCGAGCTTCCATCAGTGGCAAGGTTAGCTCTGCGCTCGCTCCGCACGATTTTTTTTTTTTTTTTCCGCAAACGGAAGTCACTCACAATCCTGTTATTCTTGGTCTGATACTTATGATAGGAGGTCGTATGGCCTGACCAGGAAGTCCATGAGCCGCATTCACCAGAGCTAGTGCCCGCAGCAGCTGCGCCAAGCTCGCTCACTTTTGGCACACCGGATCAACTGCACACCCCACGTTCAGCGCGCTCCAAGGGTCGCACTCCGATGCGTTCCGTTTTGCGCAGCTCGACCAAAGCAAAGCTGTTCACACCATGTAAGAATAGTGTGGTCTGTTCTGCTGTTCACTTGTGGCCTTGAGATATTTGGGAACGGAGCACATTGACTCATGTATTGACACGTTGCTGGCAGTGGTTCAACACGAGCCTTTTACGGCCATGCCTGCCGCGGCCGTGGCGGAGGAGTTTCAAGACGCTCAGCAGATGTCCTTCACACCACCTGGCACCTATAATGTGGGGCGACGTGCGGTTGCGCGCCTGAAACGAGGAAATGATGAGGATGCTATCAGCGAGAACATCCGTCCCATGCCCGGCAGCTTGGTCATGGATGAAGAAGACACTGGCGAGCCAGCCAGCAAGCTTGCCAAGGCCGACGTGCTGGACAAAAGCAGCTCGTGCACGTCAAGCAAGACACCGTCCTCGTCGTCCCGAGGCAGCGCATTGTCACGTGCCGGCTCCAAGCGTACCTCGCTGCGTTCCAGTACTCGAGGCTCCACCCGCAAATCGTACCGTGACATGACCAGTGCAGCCAAGAGGGTAGGTCTTCGCATTCGATCGATGTGCTGCGTTTGATGCACGTTGAAACAATATCATGTTCGGTAGCGAGAGTGTTCTCACAGAGCCTGCAAATGGGATTGCGAGTAGGGCCTGCGCTCTGAAAAGCCTCTCGGCGTCATCAACGGCAACAACAATGCCTCTGCGTACGTTTGAAATGCGCTTGTTGCTTCAGCTCGTATTTGGTAGCTGACCTTGGTCGTCTTCCTTGTCTTTGGCGCAGGGCCGACAAAATGCCTAGGTACATGCGACCCACGCTGGCCACGCGTTCGCGATCTCAGAGCAACCTGGCACAGCAGTAAAGTCGCCTGTAGCCTCGGAGATCATTGCTGAATGTGAGGAGGCCTCCTTTGCTGCGTGTCAGAGTTCTGCCCAAGGAGTTTGAACTTTCAACCAATGTTGCGTTGTAGTGTGAGTGAATGGCAAGTGCTTGTGTTGTCAAGCCTTTCTCTGTTTGGACGTTTGGGTTTTGTTTCTTATTTTACCACAGATAGTATTTTTGATGAACGGAAGTGGTGTGGTGATGTGTGTGACTGTTATCGTTCTCCTTTTCCAGGCAAAGGGAGGGCTCTTGATTCTGTGAGCCTAGCGTGCGTGGAGTTGTGCAAAAGGACATTGGAGACAAGATGAACAGGTGTTGTGCTCATCTTGTCTCCAGGAATTGAACAGGATCAACATGACACTGTGCCAACCGATGTCTCGTCTCCACGTGTGTATCCACTCACCACAGATCAAATCAGCATGGATGGGGACACATCATTTCCGTTGTTTAACGTTGGCGGGCTTTGTGAATGTGAATTGGCGCCAGGCTGAGAAGAGAAGATTGACTTTGTTCAGTTAGTAGGATTTGTGGTAGAACCAGACTAGATAAAGTAGCTGGTTCATCAGTCGAAGAGGTAACGTCACAAAACAAGGACACGTCACGGTAGGGTAACATTGGCGATCAGGTACTATGAGATGCGGCACAACAGACCTAGCACAGCTGTGTGTGTGCCGCGTTCTCGAAAGAGATACACACGCATTTGGCACTGGGAACATGCGGAAAGGAAATAACCAGAAAGGAGAGGTAACTGGCGCAACACGGGGAGAGAACTCAAGAAAGAGACTAGGCACATGAAAGTTGAAGCAAGTCAACAACAAAAGCACTAAGGCAGAAGCTATCGCTTGAGGAAGCGGAGGCCACGCAGGGCGGTCGTCATCAGGGACTGGGCGGCCGGGAGGCGGGCAGCGGGTGTGGTAGTGTGCATGGCGCGGCGGGCCAAGGTGCTGTAGGCGCGGCTGTACTTGCGACGCTCAAGGGCATCGATCTCGGTGAGAAAGTAGGTGCCACGACGAAGGCCGGCAGCGCCCTGGGGAATTTGATAGTCAAACTTGGTATAGTTGTTCTCGCGGGTCTCCAGTTCCTGTTCGAAAGTTGAGGGCTCAAGCTTGGTGCGTGATTCCAGACGAGGCTTGACCTGAACGGTGTCCTTGATGAAGCTGACATCCTCGTTGACCTTGATGGAGAACAGGGTGGCGGCGAGCCCGCTGCCGTAGGAGAACATCATGATGCGCTTGCCGACGAGGTCCTTGGCCTTGTTATCAATGAGGGAGAGAAGGCCGGCGTAGAGGGAACCGCAGTACGAGTTGCCACACTCTTTGGTGATGTACTCTGAGTCTTGAACGTACTTTTGGTAGTGGGGCTTGGTGAGCGCGCTGAGCTGCTTTTGGAAGTCACGATCGACGTACGTCTCCTCGTTGGAGAGCTGGGCAAAGTCCTTCATGGGGGCGAGTTCGGGCAGGGCTTCAGGATGGCGGAGAAATTCCTGGTAAACGAAGCGGCCCATGGACTTTTGCACGAGTTTGTTGTAAGGGGCGTGGAAGATGGCAAAATCGGCCTTGTCCATGGTCCACGGCTGGCCATGGGCCGCCTCGTACTTGTCAGCGTAACGCTGGTAGCAAATGTCGAGGGCGCGGAGGTAGCAGGCGTTGCTGAGATGGCCATCGACGCGGGGGTATTCGGAGACCATGGTGGGCTTGTAAAAGTCCCAGACGTTCTCCATGTGGGTGGCACGAAGACGAGGCTCCAAGACGAGCGGAGCCTCGGGCCCAATGAGCATGGCGAAGACGCCAGCGCCGCCCGTGGGTCGGGCCGGGCCCTTTTCATAAACGGCAATGTCACCGGCAATGGCAATGGCATAGCGACCGTCCCAGGCCGAGGACTCGACCCAGGCGGCCGAGTTGAAGACGGCAGCCGTACCACCGTAGCAGGCGTTCTTGCTATCGACACCTTCAATGTCAGTGTTGCCGTGGGCAGCGAACAGGTCCATGAGGGAGGTCTTGACGGCCTTGGACTTGTCTACGAGGGACTCGGTGCCCACTTCCAGGCGGCCAATGGCGTCCCATGGAATGTTGTACTTTTCCATGAGGTTGGCGACGGCCGACATGCAGACCGAGTTGATGTCCTCTTGTTGGCCACAGACTGCCATGTTGGTTTGGCCAAGGCCAATGGTGTACTTGCCTGTGATGGCCGGGTTAAGTGGATGTGTGAGTGGGCTTCCTCATCAAGGTGTGGCAGGAGGCAGGAGAGGAGGCCTTGAACGGGACAAGGCAAGAGAAGTAGGCGAGGGCGGGTTTTGGGTATATGCTCGACTGACCTTGAGAGACGCCGTCGTACTGTTCCAAGTCGGCCTGGGAGACGTACCACTGGGGGACATAGAACTCCATGGCCTTGATACCAACGTTGGCGGGGCGACTGTCGGTCACGGCGTGGGTGCTAAAGCTGGCCATGCCGGCGGCAGCGGCACTCTTGGTGGTCTGCATGCTGATGGTCGTGGCTGCGTCGCTCCGGATCGGGTAGAGAGACGTTGATGGCTTTAGCAATTGCCACGCGGCTGGGCAGAGAAGCAGGAGGAAAATGCAGCCCAGCCGAGTAGAGAGAGAGAGAGAGAGAGAGAGAGAGAGAGAGAGAGAGAGAGAGAGAGAGAGAGAGAGAGAGAGAGAGAGAGAGAGAGAGAAGGAGGGAGAAGGAGGGAGAGAGAGAGAGAAGGAGGGAGAAGGAGGGAGAGAGAGAGAGCGAGGCAGCAGCAGCAGCAGCAGCAGCAGCAGCAGCAGGGGATGAGGATCGCGTGAGGTTGAGGGGGAGGCGGGTGAGAAATTGAGGCGCAGGTGGGGTGATTGACACATCCACCGGTCATCGACAATAACATCAAATGTATCTGCAATAAGTATCATTATCTTTCTGTTTAAATCAGCATAAAGTGGAAAACGGGTGAGAATAAGTACATCAATAACAACAACACGAGCTTTTTCCATTTCGCACCCACAACAACTTTTTTTAACGATAAACTCCACATGCGGACCCTTTATGTGTGTGTGTGTGTGTGTGTGTGTGCTGTGGGGAGGTATCGAATACGAAGCAACAGCGCAGAGAGAGAGAAGTCACACACACACAGACACAGAGACACAGAGACACAGACACACGCACAGGTGGTGTGATCTTCATACTCAGGGGGGAGAGAGTGCGCATGCGGGCACACGTCGTTCTTGTTCTCGCTTCGCTGACTGACTGACTGACTGACTGACTTGGGATCAAATGTTCGCGGAAGGGCGATGCAGCTGGATCATGAGATGACGCAGGCGCCGTGGTGGGACTGGCTGGCATTCAGGTGGTGAGATGAGGGCATGGGGACGGTGGCTGCCAATGAATTCGGCACCTAAACCGGTGTCCCCTTTTTCTCTTGTGCGCCGGTGCCAGCAGCGACCGTTTCTTTGCAATAAGGGGATGGAGCGAGCGTTTATGCCCTGCCCTTTTCTCTCTCCCAATCCAAAGGCGGCCAACGCTCGCCTTGCCAAGCCACCATCATCTCCTGCCCCACACCCAGTTGACAGTTGACGCCCGATCGCCGCCCAGCCGACGCCCAATTTGTAAAGTCGCGTGACGTCCGCCAAGACAGACAGACGCCCGGCTAGCTCAGGCAAGGTTAGCTAAGGCAAGGTGAGGTAAGGTAAGATAAGGCAATGACGGAGTGATGCCCTACGTCATTTTTGGGCGGGAACGATTTGTCGACAACTTTTTTGCCTTGTGTGTGTTGGTGCGAATGTCCCCATCTTCATCATCACACCACTGAACGTGCCTGCTGACAAACAAAACATCCAAGCCACGAAAAAGTCGCAGAATGTGCGCATCAGGCGACTTATTCGTTGCCTGAAACTTGTCATCCAACAATGCTGACAAAAGTTGATGAGCAAAAAGTACTTTACTTTTTATCCATAAGATAAAGTAAAATACATAATACGACCACAATCCTTGGATGTATTTTACTTCCTGCCTCAAGCGTGCGCACGTTGATTTTTTTTTCTGCTCATGACACCGAGGAAATGGCAGCGCCAGTGTCGACGACTCCAGAGAGGATGAATGAGAAGGCGGACCAGAGGGAGGTCACAGACATGGATATCGACCTGGACCGCATGGCCAACCTGCGCTTGCAGAGTCAGTACAGTGCCTTGGACGTCACGGCCGTCGCAAATGGGGACCACGCTGATGACGCTTTTGATCCCTTTGCTGCCGTGGCCTTTGGCAGCGCCCAGGGTAAGTTGCCCGCAGTGCTCGCGAACCGTCCCGGTGATCTAGCCGCCTATATACTACTTGACAGCGTGCATGGCGTGCACAGCGTTGCAGCCTTTTTTGTCTCCTCATTCTTTCTCACCTTGACTTTGACGTTGCTCAGATGACGTGCAGGCCGGCCACACCGCCGGCTGGCGTGATGGTCAGCGCCAGGGCCTTGCCGACGGCTTTTTAACTGGTTCCAAGACGGCCTTTGACCTGTTCAAAGAGGTCAGCGCCTCCTCCTCGCCAGTTTGCCATCACCTTCACCCGTTGCTGCAAACCCAAAGCCGCGGTGCACGCCTCACACTCTGCCCGTGTAGATGGGCTATTACCGCGGCTGCTGCCAGTTTTTTGCTGCTGCATACGCGCCGCTTGCCGCCCCGTGCGTAGACCTCGCTTGCTGTTCTCCCTTTGTCGTGCCTCAGCCCCTATGCCCACCACCCGTGGTTGAGTGACCCCTCACGCCCTTGCCAAACCTGATAATAAATACCGGCGTCTTTCCGGCCAGGTCTCGTCGCGCCCTGAGCCGCCTTGAAACTCTGCTTGACGAAGCTGACGCCGTGACCAACGTTGCTCAATTGGAACCAGAGGCCACCATCCGCACTCTCCGCCAAGCCTACAAAGTGGTGGGTCAGACACTGCCCTTCACCACCACCACAACAGGAACCCCCTCAACTCACTTTCTTTTGCTGCCTCACCAACAAATTTAGCTTTGTGTCACCCTCAAAGTTGAACAACCCTACACCTTTGAGCCAACCCAGTCCCAGCTGAGCTTTTGAAGGCGGCCTTTGGTCCAGAGCAAAGACGGCGCAGGCCCCTCGAGTCAAAAAAAACTTATTTGTCAAGACAAGGCAGCTTGGCAGCCCCGCCCCGGGCGCCGCCGTGGTCCTTGGCAATCGTTGCCCGGCACTGTTGGGCGATGTGCCCCAGACAAGAGACCTCACGACACTTGTGGCGGAAGCGGCTTCTTTATCATATCGCGAGAATACGTGTCCTGGAGCAGCCGAAACGTGGCAGACCGACCCAGTTGGTATGCCCGACACCGCTCCTACGCACCACCCGGGACCCAGGTCCACAGTGCCACACGCACCGCAGCAACGGCATGAGTTCAACTCGTCCCTGACATGCACTGCAAAGAGACGCATTCGAGTGGCTGGCCCGTCTTTCCTTCCCCCTAGCCATCATTCAGGACCCCTGACCCACCTCAAGCCGTGCAAACTGCATTTCCGGATGACGACCCGGTTCACCGCGGCACCGCCGCATGGCCTCTGCGTGCAGGGCTCGAAATTGTTTCAGCTCCTCTGCAAACGCCACCTGCAAGCCCATCGAGCCACCGTCAGCAAGCTGACTGTTGTCATTGTGGCAATTCAAGCCCCGTGTCGCAAGCTCGTTGCCCCGCCCACTTCTCTGCCAAACGCTTTGCGCGAACCTGGCGGTCTATTTTGCCCCATAGCGTCTCATTGGCACGCATGTAGATTTTGGTGTCCCACGAATTGAGTAAAAGAATGCGCTGCTCCAAGGCTGCTGCGTCCATGCTGGGCTCAACATGATCCGCCAACTGACACGTGTCCAAAAACAAACAAACTTGGTGGCATGAGGAGGGCGAGACACCCCATTGTGCATGGAATGCCCTCAGCGACGAGAAAGCGGCCAGAAGCGACTTGTACGTACGCGAAGGGTTGTCGAGGACCGAAACCGTTCGCGATCGAAGATGGCAATCGTCTCTTCTTGCCAGCACATGGTGCGGCGCAGCATAACCTGCCGAACCCCAGCCCCAACCAAACCCGTGCATCAGCGCCATTCCATGACACAACAAATCCGCTTCGAAAATATACCGTACCATTGACTCATCAATGTGCTCAGCGACCAAAATGTGCGCAAACCACCACAGATGCTTCATCATGTACTCCTCTGCTTCTTTGGTGGGAGCATCGCGAGGAAAGCCCATGCGATACGCTTGGCGATCCAGTAGATGGAAACGCACATCAAAGTCATCCTGCGCGGCGAAACAAAACAATCCACCACGACAACAGCCACCCATCAGCTCTGGACAGGCCGGCAGCAGACGCGATTCATGTGCGACGCATCCAGCCGCAGGGTCGACGTACCGTGGTAAGCGCTGCGAGGAACCGGTGCGGGTCTAACAAAAACTGTGCAAGGGAAATGTCGCGCCCCAGCTTGCGTTGAAGTCGCCCCGGCATGTCCAACCGACGCCAAGCATCGAGAAACTCTTGGACGGGGTGACTGCCATGCCAACACGTTCAACGCGGCAGCAGCAACGCCGGTAAACAATTCGTGGTGAGGCCAGACCGACGAGACATTCAGATTCAGATTCGGGGCGTGGCGTGCCAGTCGTGCGGGACACACGACACCTGCTCAATCATACCGGAAGACGGCGATGAAGATGAGGCTTGGCACCCAAGAATCCATGTACGGGCGGTCGTAGCGTAGGCCCGGGACGGCATAGATTTGGGGTCCGGGCTTGGTCCACCATGTAGTTGTGGGCGCATAGATTAGGCCCTGTTCCCGTGCCGTTGCCTTGCTCTCGGCCGGGACCACCATCGAGGAGCCTGAGGTAATGGACCATTGGGCCAAAAGATTGATAATGACATCATCAGCCGGGTGGTCCGTCACCAGGTTCAGAATCTTGCGGGCAGGATACGTCGCCCAGCACTCCAGCTTGTCAATCGGATAGCCGTGCTGCCGCTTGAGGTGTTTGACGAAGCCCTTGCTATCAAGCCACATGTAGTGGCACTGTCGCTGATCAGTGGTGAGGGTCCTTTCTTCCAATTGGACGCGGTGTGCATCCTCATCCCACATCTGGTAGTCCTGGCACTTGAGGCTCCAAAACTGTTGGGCGTTGGCAGGCCAAACACATTGAATCGTGTAAGGCGAGGCCCGAGAAGTTGCTTTGGGCAGAAACCGGCAAAGGCAGTGGTGAAACAACGCATGTGGCCCTGCCTTGATTTTAGCACGAAAGTCGGTCAGTTCCTGCTCAAAGCCTGGTTCCGCAGCGATTTGGCGAAAGAGGCTGGCGTTGAAGTGTTGGTAGAGGCGCCAGTCGGCCCAGCTTATTTTTTGAATGCGCTCGCTTCTGCAGGTGTCACGCAATAATAGTTGGTGTGGCGCCAGAAGCGAACAGTGCGAGCATCTATTGCAAGAGAGTTTGTCAAGCCCCTAACGGCAATGTCTGCAGACCTGGCCTTGATAGTGGCTTGATCAACATTTGTGTGTGGTTTATCGTGAGCTGCCTTGAGTTTGAGGTACACAATGTCCTCCAAAGTCCAGCAAAACCTGTCGAAGCAAGGTCAAGACGTCGAGTCAGTCGGTGCGTCTGGCTACGCGTGCCACAGTATTTGCCTCATAGCAGCCAAACACAGGGGCTTCGGACCGGCGCTTGAGGAGCAAAAGGCTTTCGTCCATGTGTTCCGTGATCATGACCATGGCAAACTTTCGCTCCATCTCCTCGATCAGCTGACAGTCAGGTGAGGGTTAGGGTCAAAACAAATCGCAAAGTGATGTCGACTCGGCAAGCCGAGCCGAGAACATTGGATGGTACTTACCTGTGTGACTTGTGCAGGCAGCGGGTCATCGGTCAACCCGAGATCGAATGCGAAACTGTTGATGGTAAGCATGCGGTCTGTCTCTTTCAGGCGATGCTGATGTTGGGCAAACTGCTGCAAAAACTAGGTCGCCATTCGCACACGTGGCCATCCAAGAGGCAAGCAGACGCTGGGGTCAACGGCGGCCCGTGTGAGCATGATATGCCTGCGGGCGTTTCTACGCTTGACAAACCTCGTCGGGTGTCAACTTGGGCCCGTTGTTTTGAGCCAAGTGCTCCCACACGTGCCAGTGGTGCCATGAAGAAAAAAAGTGCGAGGTTGGGTTACGCAGAACAGTGATATAGGTGGCCTGTGGAACCAGCGTCTACAGAGCTTGTGTGAGGAGCAAGAACAAGGGCTGGTAACCACGGCGATGGAGTTGGCGATGTGCAGAATGACGACAAACACGCACTTCCAAGGCCTCGGGAACGTAGCGCACATGTGCGCTCACAAGCATATCATATGGGGGCTGGCTCCCGTTGACAGTATCAACACTTTGCATGATTCGATGCGGATCCGCTGCACAGCAAGAAGAGCAAAGACCAGGGCAAAACATGGGGCCCAGGCGAGACGACAGAGCATGTTTGAGGGATGGCGGGCCGGGTCTAGCTCACGATGACAAGCTGCTTCGGGCAAAAACACGGTTCAGCGATATTGGCAGAGCGTACCTTGCGGCCAGGCATAAAACACATTGTCCGTGGGGAGAGCCATCTTGAGGTTCTTGGCCACGCCATAGCGGTGGAGAATGTTGGTCAAGGTGCTGCTCCCCGTCTTGTGGGTCTGTGCATGGTACAAAGGCGGGGTGAAATGAGGCTGCGTCAGATATTGGAGCAAGACTGCTCCACAGCGGCCAACAACCAAAGAGAAGCAACCTTAATATAGACCACGCGCCGCCAGTCTGCACACTGTGCAGCGGGCGCTCCATTGGTCGTGCTGCGGAGGGGTGCTGGTGTGTGCGTTGTGGCACGAGGATGAAGGGCAGCACCACGGTCGGCACCAGTGCCGGTGCCGGCGTTGGCCGGGCGAACCAGGGGCAATTCGGGCGCGTTGGATGGATGCAGGCCGGGTGACTGGCAGTTGTGGGTCATGACGAACAGCAAGATGGAAGCCGTGATGGCCCAGCTGGCGAGCAGCGCCACCACTGCCGGTGAGGTCCAAAGTCGCCCTGTCATGCTGCTGTTAGCGGCGGCACTCGGTGCTATACGACTCTCAGCTTCTTGCCAGATACCGGGCACCCTTCAGGCCCCTACTATTCCGTTGGCCAAGGACTCAGCATCCAGTCACGACAACCATTCGACCCGCGTACATTGATCAAATGAACTTTTTTTTTTTTTCTGATGATGCTTGAAAAAAATTGCATGCATGAAAGCATGAGGTTGAGTGTCCAAATGAAGGAGAGAGTGTGTTCTGTCTTTTCTGGTGCCTGATGTCTGGTAGCTGTGCTGAGTGCTTGGTGCCTGATGCCTGCGTCTGTGTTTGTGCCTTTGTGTGCCTCTGACTGCGTCTGTGTTTGTGCGTTTGTCTGCGTCTGTGCCTGATTCTGTGTCTGATTCTGTGTCTGATTCTGTGCCTGATTCTGTGTGTGTCTGTCACCGTTTGTTAGAAAGGCACTTTGCAGCTTGGCGAGTTAGACCCACATCTGATCATGCCGGTCATCAACCAGACGTAGCGAGAATGCCAGGTGATGGTGGCGCGCTATGATGGAGGGCTGCAAGTCACTGAATGGATCTGCACCGTAGAAATCTTTTATGACATCGGCATGTGCACAAGGCGCGTGCGGTTTCTTGACTGCGGTTTCAGAACAACCCATGACAGGGGCCTGGGGCGGAGAAGAAGAAGAAGAAGAAGAAGAAGAAGAAGAAGAAAACATACAATGTGATCATACCGATCAACTTCACAGTGTCGCTGTACCGGTGACCATGGCCAGCGGCGTTGCCTCTAATCGTTTTCTCAGTCTGCCGCGACGACCTGCCTCCATCGCCCATACAAAAGCAGGACTTTTGGACCACAATGTACACGATAACTCGACAACAGCCCTTCTGATTGTCCTCTGGGGCACGCTGGTTCATCACTTTGGACAAGTGCTCTCAACGGCAGGGGCCTTCCAGCCAATTGCTGGATCTGAGTCTCTCACTTGCCCTCCTTAGGGGCGCGGTCCAAGCGCACGCAGTACCTGTACTGGTGCAATTCGGGACCTGTGTATAGTGTGTTTGGTGTGTATAGTGTGTATAGTGTGTCTAGTGTGTATAGTGTGTCTAGTGTGTATAGTGTGCATATGTGTATAGTGTGTCCGTAAACCAATTCATCCTCTCTCTCTTTCTTATAAATCTGCTCTCTTCGTCTCGAACCAATTCATCTCTCTGTCTCTCCTTTGTTTCTCTCTGTCTCACTGTCTCTATCTCCCAAACCAATTGATCTGTCTCTCGCGCGCTCTCTCTCTCTGTCAATCGTTGTCTCTCTCTGTGTCTCTCTGTGTCTCTCTGCATTTGTCTCTCAGCTCTGTCTCTCTCTCTCTCTGTCTCTCTCTCTCTCTCTCTCTG